TTGAGACAGAAGAGCCAATCCTGTCCCTCACAACAATTTAAAAATTATTCGAGACCCATAAAACAAATGAAATCACCATTAGGTGAATAATACCCTTTAAACATTTTATAAATGAAATTGTGATAGTTTTATTTTCATTTTCAATTTTACTTCAGAGCCACATGTATTTACCCAGAGAGCTACATGTGGCTCGCGAGCCGCAGTTTGCCGACCCCTGGAATCCAGCCAGTCCCCCCATGAGAACTATCCGAGAGAAGGGAAGCACAAAATGCTACCACTTCGGCACATCCCTCCATCTGCTCCCACTGGTCCATTGGGGCTCTTCAGGCAGAATGTTCCCACATATAGGTGGTTAAATCCAGTATTGGGCTCTGGATGGGAACTCAGTCAACCAAAACATCACCCCCCTGGGTTTGTGCTGCCATTCACAGCAGCTGTATTTACTGCATGCTGCCTTGAGGCCCAAGGAGCTCGTTAGGAAGCAGCGTCTTTCCAGATGGGTGGATCCTTTGGCTCAGCTGGATACTTGTCCTGGCTCATCCCATATCAGCCTTGCCTGCTGCCTCTGATCTCCCCGTTCCTATAAGGATCAGTCACAGGTCCTGGGCTTTTCCCACACGCCCAGTTGTGACCGCATTACCAGGTTGGGACACCTGCTCCCAAGCAGGCCTTTATTCCCGAGGAAACATGACATTGAAGTCCAGGACCTTCCGCCAGGCCTCTGGCGTGTGAGTGTGAATCCAGGGAGAGCTGGGCTGCAGTAAACGCAGGGCTGAGTGTGAATTCCACCCCTGAGGTCACTATGACTCCATATAGCCCCGGTTCGGGACCACAGTTGGGGTCTACCGATAGACTTGGGACTGGAACTGTTTTCCTGCCATCAATATGAAATGGAATGAAAGAGCAGCCAGGCCTAGGAGTGGTATAACAGACTCCGGGCCAGTGAGCCCCAGAGCCACACTGTGAGTGGGAGAGGATGCCTTCAGGGCCACCTGATGAGGGTGGAGACAGTGGGGAAGGAAACAGTGGGTTCACACTGTAGGGGCAAGTGGCACTCATGGCTGGTTGTTCTCAAGAAGAAGCTTTCTGGACTATAACTATATTTTGCAGTAAACATTTTACAAATGTTTGGGAGCATTTGGGGATATCTCCATGAATGGGGTGGCAGGTAATGGTCCAAAGATGCTCTGTGTCCTGTGTTGTGTGGGACTGCCCCATCCACTGAATGAAAAATTGTCCGGCCCCAAAGCCAATAGGGTCTGCCTTGAGGAATACTGGTAGAGAGAAAGATTTAACACTGGGATTCCAACACACTGGTCAGGAAAATACCAATTTTTAAAAATGTGTTAACTGACTCAGTAAAGGTACCATGATGACAAACACTGAGAGGCTTAAAAATGTACCAGAGACAGACCCTGAGCAAAGAAGGCTGGAGTCTAATATAGGTACAGAAAGTATCTCTAATGCAAGACAGAAAGCTGTGTGTCCCATGTGGAAACAGGAGTAGCTGATGTACTGTGGGCGGGAAGAGGTTCCCGTGGGGTGCATAAACTCAGGAAAGCCTGGACACCCCCATGGTCTCTCTGAGTGGTCTTTCCCAACCTCTACGTGGTCACAAAACACCTCCATCCAGAGGTGTCTGCCAAATCAGAAAGTCCTGTTAAGAAGTTCCACTTTTGGAAGAAGAATCAAAGGTTCTGTTAGCTTCACTTTCAAGGTTTTCCTCTTAGAGGTGAGGGAGCCTCTCCTGTGAGAATTTGATCTCTGAGGACACAGAGGGCCATGGAAAAGGGATCCACATTTGATCTGGGTCCTTCGGTGAAGGACATTTGTACATGCCCCGACCGCACAGTGGACACGTGCCCCTTTCGCTACCTCCTGAGGGAGTGCCCACCCAAGCCCTTAGTGGATGGTTTGCCTTTGGCAGGCACCTGCCTCCCCATTGGCTTCACCTGGATGCAGGTGTCCAAGGAAGCCTTTGTAAGAAAAGTGGAGGGGACTTAGGAAGGGGGGAGTCATTTAGATGTTTAGGAGGCTCCCTATCATCTCCAACACTCTGCATCCATGAACTCACTGGTGCTAAAACACTGGGCAGCACTGTGTGAGGTAGGTGACATGCTCTGCATTTTGTAGATGGGGAGGTGAGGCATCCAGCCTGTGACCCTTCCCAAGGTCACTGCCGGTCAGTGTCAGAGCCGGGCTTCTTTACTGCTATACTCCCAGTTCCACCCTGGCCTTGATGTCTTTGCAGTCACAGCTCCCTGCTTAACTCCCTTGCAGTTTCCTTTAGCCTGATAGTTATGGGACTATCAGCAGTAAGAGATTTTCAAATTAGAAGCATTTAAGGGTTTTAGCCCCGTGAAATGCTGCTCTAATTATTTTCCCAGAAAAATTGCAAACTCACAGGGAAAAATAAGACAAATGAGGACACAAATAGCCGTAATGCAGAATTTCTGTGGGAAGTGCCCTCAGAAAGTCACACCGAAAGTGCTGAGCTGCTTTCAAGGGACCTCACGGGGCGGGGCCGAAGGACCCCATCATGAGAGTACTGATGGGTGAATGTGGGGGTTAAGGACACTGAGGCTTTATGAAGCCCTTTTTATGGTGCATAATTCCATTCCATTTTTCCCCAAATCCATCTTGCCCTATGTGGAAGTGTCAGTAGACAGAATGGTCTGTGTTTAAAACTTGGGGTCTGGGGTAGAAGGAGCTGGGAAAAATTCAGTAGTGTTTGCACATATTAAAAAACAAAATGCACAGCTGATTTGCAGTGTATCAGCTCCAGCTCTCTCTGGTCCTAGGCCTCCAGCTGTTACGATCAGTCAGGGCTTAGGAGTTTTCTTGACATTTATCGTACGTGATTGAAATTATTAAAGCAGCATTTAGCTGGGCAGGTATCCTTAAATGTTTCCATATTTAAAGCCCTCAGTTAGAGATGGCTAGTAATTAGGTGGGTTTGGCTCATGGTCCTTCTGCAACTGGGAAGGCGGGAAACAGTTTCTGCTCTGTAAGCGAAGGGGAGGTGAAGTGAGGGGCAGAGGGCTCAAGAGCCCTTTCCCCCTTCTTAAAGGGAATCCATAAAGGGAATCCACACATATCATGAGCCTGTCAAGCAGAGGCATGTAAATCCCCAGTCAGCTCTGAGCAGAACAGATGCTGTCATTCCCTTGGTGCCATCACATTTGTGACAGGCAGAACCAATTACAAAGGTAAGGGGCATGGAAGCAAAGTATATTAGTATAGTTGCCAGGGCCTGGGGGGAGGGGAGCTTGGGGAGTGGCTGATGATGGGCATGGGGTTTATTTTCGGAGTGACACACATGTTCTGGGACTCAGTATTGGGGATGGTTGTACACGTTTGTGAATATACTAAAAATTAATGATACACTTGGAAAGGAGGGTACATTTCTGCAATTAGCCATTTTATATGGAGAAAAAAATAAGGGGGGGAAATATGCCATCATTTGCTCTTATGAGTACCCTTTCTCTGAGACCCATAGTTATGTTAGAATCTTCCACCAAACCAAGATAAGAGTTTTATAAAAGCAGGGGAGATGGAGCGAGGTCAGACCCCATTTTCCTTCTCATCCCAGGGAGCTGAGATGAATGGCCTGGGAGGGAAAGGGGACACGGAAGACCAGAGGGGCACAAGATTGTGGTGTGTGCCTACTTCTCAGGCACATCGCATGTCCACTGCCCACCAGAGGTGCCTGATATTCCACAGTACTCTTTGGATAACATTTCTAAAGGACCCCATTAAAAGGTGAACGAACCCCAAGGGAATGGATACAACCCACTTACTCCCCATTAACCCTTTAGAATGAGGGACATTATCTGAGTTACTGGACAGTCACTCGGCAAGGCCACAGGTGACGGTAACACACCATCTCAAGGCAGCACCTCGGTGATTTCCAGATGGGCACCGTGGACCACATGTGTCCTTGAAGACGGAGAGTGCGCCACCTCTGAAGAGGTGAGCTGGGTGTCACCTCCACTGAGGACACAGAGTGATGGGGGCAGATGTGCGGAATTCACCTTCAGAGGGATTGAGACTGGAAATTCCAGGTCTCCGTGGAGTAGGGTTGTGCTGCATCAGAGTGTAAGATTACCTGGGGAGGTTGTGAGCATCCCCTGGAAACCGAGATAGGAGCAAGGAGTGTCAGGGTGAGCATCTGTGTGACGTGAGGTAGCTTTCCAGAGAAAGGGACAGACCCCGCCTAGAAAATGGCAACTTGCTCAGTGAAAAGATTGCATTTGTTTAAACAGAGATCTCCTCAGAGGCCAAGGGATACAGAAAGCCCTCTTAAAGACTTCCTTCCAGAACATACCAAAACAGCACTTACTCAAAAAGAGTGAGATTATAAATGTTCTTTGTTTTATGGGCATTGCTGGACATTTTCTTTACAGTGGATCTGCACTACTCTGATGAAAGGGTAGGCGGAGGGTGGGAATCAAAAGCAAAATCTACTTTGGGGAGAAAAATAATTCCTTCCAAACTATACCAAAATGTGTAAACAGTGTTATCTCTAGGGGTTAGGATACAGCCTCTTTTTATTTGCTAATGTGCACTTTTATGCATTAAAAAATGGTTTTCAATTAGTTGTGTTAGTTTTCTTTTCATAAGAAGAAAACCATCATTTACACACCAGGCTGCATTCCAGGTAAGGCTCCCACTTTAGTAGCAGCGACGTGGAGCTCCACGCACTCGGGTAGAAACCCCTGTGAACGGTTCTGCCTCTGGTCAGTCCTCCCAGAGCGGCTTCCAAACCCTCCTTTCACCCCCTCCACCCCCAGTTTTCCAGCTGCGATTCTACAATTCACCTACACACTGAAATTCTTGGGGGGAGGGGAGGCTCTGTGGGAAGAAGAATGATTTTGCTGCTCTGATAAGGGCTTTATGCTAGAAATAATTGACCCCATGGGGCTCTGTCTGAGACCACCCATGGCTCTCAGGTGGCCAGAGGCAAGACATGCCCCCTGATGCACCTGTGTTCCCTCCAGGTGGACCTACCACGATTTCTTCAACCGGTACCGGGTCCTGGTCAAGAAGAGAGAGCTTGCCAACGCAGACAAGAAGGCCATCTGCAAGTCTGTCCTGGAGAACCTCATCAAGGTGAGCTGGGCACCCGCTGGGCCACCCGGCTGTGAAAGGTTTAACGGGGTGCCGGAGAATTGCCGGGGTGGGGGTGGGGGAGGTGGTAACTGCCTTTTTTGGTCTTCATCCTTCTTATTGCAAGTCTTTCTTAGGTGTTAATCCATTTTCCTGTATCTGTGATTGTAAAGGAAACGCCCCTTCGCCTGCCTAGAGTACGTGCTAGCCTTTCTCACACCTCAGCACGCAGAGAAAGTGAAATTATCTGTACAGTCCGCTGGGGCCCTGATGAAGCCACTCCTGGCTACAAGCTGTTGGCCTGGGCTCTCTGGCTTCTCTGAATCCCGGGCTCCATGGCTCAGCCCACCTGCCAGCTCTGATGCACAGCCCAGGGGGCTCCGTCCTGGAGCCCGGCACAGCCGGGATGCCAGCGGAGGGAAAATCCGCTGTGCTTGTTACCTTCCTCATCGCGTAGCCGCCTCAGGCCCAGCGCCAGATGCTGTTTTAAATAAGGCAGCGGATTTCATTTTAATGGAAACAACCTGAACCCATACCTAACACTTGAGACAGGAGAACTAGAAGAGCAGAGCTATTGGGGGCTTTCTGTGATAAACATTTCATTAGTTCCGGAATATTCAGAGATTCCAGCAGAGTGTGCTCCTTAGTGGTCTCAATAAAGGGTTAAATTATATCAACAGTCTTCCCTTTAAGAAGATAGTAGAAAGAATTACATCAAAAAAATTAGTTTTCAAACATTATTTTGCCAGGAAAATCTATTTGTCTGGAGTGGCTCATTGCCAGATCAGGACCTAAGCTCAGGCGTTCTTTTGTAAAAGTGACAGTCACCCTCTGAGCATTGCCAATTCTGTAGCTGTCGACAGCGCAGAATATTGTGCTAAGTATTCAGTACAGACTAAGAGGGTGATAATCTCGTTAACTGAGAGTTGAAATTGGTTAGTTGAACTCTGGTTAATTGAGGTTTTTTTCTGTGGTGCTTCTGTCAGTTTCTACATTTCAACAGCTCATTTTTCACGGATGAGAAAAATCTGTTCAAGATCAACTGCTCCTGGTCAACATGGAGCCTCCGGAGTCCTTCTCCTGTTGGTACCAGGAGCTGGCCTCTTAGGGTGTGGTCAAGATCGCCACCTTCCTGGTGGCTTTCTCCAGACTAGAAATGGAGCATGAGTACCATGGTTCCTGGGATGCAGCAGGCACCCCCAGACCCTGGCTCTGCTGAAGCCCTAGCAGCCAGGTTCCCTCGACTGAGGGCGGAGCCCCCCACCTTTGCTTCCTGACCCCTTCCTCCCTGAGATGCAGCTTCCCCCAGCAAGGCAGTGAAGAGCAGACGCAGGGGGAGAGCCCGTACCCTGCTCCTCCCGGCAGCCTGGCCTTGGAGGAGACAGTCAGTGACAGCCTAGCTGGATGCCGTGTCCCAGCTCAGCACAGCTCAGGCAGCACCGTCTGTGTGTGTGGAGCCAGGTTCCTCTTAGCCGTAGAGGGCTTAAGCCAGGAAGAGCGGTGATTCGGCAGTATTTCACAGCCATGTGTCAACCTGACACATATCCCTGTGTGTATGTATTTTCCTTAGACTTTGGCCCATTCCTTCCTTCTTATGGTGATCATGCCTTTGCGCAAAACCAAATGGAAGTTTGTTTACAGGGAGCACGCAGTTATCATGGGTTAACTATCAAGTGTTCTACCCAGGCTTGTCCACAAGCCCCCTGCTGGGTCAGTCTCTCCTTATTCACTGGGGTCAGCTAAGTGCAGGCAAGGACAGCTTATTTTAACGTAAATAGATGTAATTAAGATAGTAGTTATATGTCCCCAAAAAATCTCATAACACAGCTTGAAACTAAATAAAATTTGGGGAGTTAGTTGCAATCTAAAATTATGCCATCAACTATGTGGCCATTTGAGGATAATCTTTTTAAAATGTCAACCAGTTCAGGTCATTCCCTTGCTCAGAGCACCCCAGTGGCTCCCCCTCCAATTCTGTGGCCTTTGGTGATTAGCCCCACCACCACCACCACCACCCCCCAGCCTCACTTCCCCACTCAGCCAGCATGGCTCTCCTCCTTAAACATACACAGCTTGTGGCCACCACAGGACATTTGCATCTGCTCTGCTCTTCTTCTGAACTCCCCTCCTCCAGACTTTCTCGTGGCTGCCGCCTTCAGTTCATTGAGGTCTTTGCTCAAATATCACCTCTGTAGAGATGCCTTCCTTGGTTATCCTATTTAACATCATCCCACCCTCCGGCCCCCAGCTTTATTGCCACCCTAACCCTCACCTGAAAACATTCTGTGTCTTTGTTTGCTAGTCTGTCTCCCCTTACCATGCCAGCTGCTCAAGGGCTGGCTTCTTGTTCAGTGCTGCGTCCTGTGGTATCCCAACCCAGTGCCTGTCCTGTAGGTAGAGACAGACTCAGTGACTGTTAAACACATGCTCAGAGGTATTGTGTATCACGTGAGCTCTGGTAACGGAATTCTGCACTGGTGGGACCAGGGTGGTGGACATCTTACCTTACTGCTCACTGGTGACAAACCAGCTCCCTTCCCTGCCTTGTGAAGGACCCTGACAAGTTCCAGTTTGGCCGCACCAAGATCTTCTTCCGGGCAGGCCAGGTGGCCTACCTGGAGAAGCTTCGGGCTGACAAGTTCCGGGCAGCCACCATCATGATCCAGAAAACTGTCCGGGGCTGGCTGCAGAAGGTGAAATACCGCAGGCAAAAGGGAGCTACCTTAACTCTGCAGAGGTACTACCGAGGACACCTGGCCCGCAGGTAAGCCAAGCTGGGGCACGCCTGGGGCAGCAGCTGGGGGTGTGGAGCAAGGAACAGGGACTGGCTTTCTCGGTTGGTTGGCCTTTCTCAGCTTCTGTAATTAGAGTGGTTCCTATTGGGCCCTGTCTGTGCCCTGGCCTCCTCCCAGCAGCTGGGCCCAACTCTCTCATGCCCCTTTCACCTTAAGGTATAGGTCTAGTTCCCAGGTCTCCTGGTTCCTCCAGTCTATCCCCATCCCATCAGTGCTAGCCTGGGACTGGATGATTTAGTCACAAAACTACCATTTTTCTTTCGCTTCAACTCCAAAGTAAAATAATCTTTAAGAAAAAGAGGTAAGCAGGCCGGCCAAGTGGCGCGTTGGTTAATAGCTGGCTTGGGATGCCAGAGGACCCCAGTTCAGATCCCACATATGAGGGCCAGTGACACTGCCCTCCACAGCTAAGATGCTGAAAAACAGCTCGACCTGGAGCTGGGCTGCCATGAGTCACTGGCAATGGCGGAGGCTGCAGCCCCTGCTGCAGTGGGTTGCCATGGGCTACCGTGTGTAGCCAGCAGCCAGCGTGAGCGGCCAGCAGCCGCAGTGAGCGGNTTCCCCCAATTCCCCAATAAAAATCTTAAAAAAAAAAAAAAGGTGGACATTATAAATAAAAAAAAAAACACCTGAAAGCAGTGGAACAAAATAGAGAACTTAGAAACAGATTTTTAAGAGTCAGAAAAACTGGCTTACTAGTTGGCAATAAATGAAACGGAATTCCTGCCTTAAACTATATACGAAAATGGATTCTGGATGGATTAGAAAATGAAATGTGAAAGACTAAAATGTAAAGCCATAGCCAGTGCTGATGACAGTATGGAGCAACTGGAAACCTCATACATTGCTGGTGGGAATCAAAATGGTACAGCTACTTTGGAAGACACTTTAGTATTAAGTTATCATATGACCCAGCAATCCCACTGTATTATATATACCCAAGTGAAGTGAAAACTTATGTTTACATAAAAACTTACACACAAATGTTTGTAACAGCTTCATTTGAAATCATAAATCATCAAAAACTTTCCTTCAACTTGGAAATGGATTAACAAACTATGATACATCCAGCCAACAGCCTGCAGACTTCTCGGTTTTGTCACTGTAAATAAACATGTAGGCAGAATCCTGTTGCTTGACCTCCTCTCACTCTCCACCCTTGGGTCTCTGCAGAAAGAGGTGATTAAGCTAGGGGACAGTTCTTCAGAGCTGAATTGGGCTCAGGACCATTATATTGTTTCATTAACAAAGTACCATAAGCTAGGTTGCTTAAAACAAAAAATGTATTTGTTCACAATTCTGGAGGCCAGGAGTCTGAAATCAAAAGCTATTAGCATGATTACTCAAAAAGACCTAGGGAAGAACCCTTCCACGTCTCTCCTCTTCCAGTGATGGCCAGAAATATTGAACATGATCTTCCTTGGCTTGTAGATGCAGCATTCCAATCTCTGCCTTGTCTGACCTTAGCTCTTAAGACCTTGTCTCCAGTGTGTGTCATTTTCTTATAGAGACACCAGTCATGCGATTAGAGCCCACCCTAATCCAATTTTGACCGCATCTTATTTTGTCTAATTTCCAAATGTCACATTGAGATTCCAAGTGGACATGAATTTTGGGGGACACTATTTAATCCAGTAAAACCATCTATTCTCCCTTCAGCTATATGGGGGTTAATTAATAATGTGAAAAGGTCCTTGTAAACAATTCCATTTAGCAGTTCTCACAGCATTAAGTCTCTAATACTTCCACTCCACTCCAAACCCCTACCCGCCACTCACACAAGGGGCTAAGTTGCTTCGCCACCAACCTCCATGGCACCTCTCGACTTTTTGCTTCCAAATATTAGAGATATGGTAATTTGTTGGTTTCCAGGTAAATAATTGGTTCTCAAAAAAAAAAAAGCATCCCCATTTGCATCATTTCTGTGAGAAATATCGCCACCATGGTGGGATAAGATGTGCGTAAGTAGTCCTCTTCAGCCAGTGAGCCAGCTCAGGTTCCCTTCGCCCTCAGCAGTTTGAGCTCTTAAAGATATTTGCTACGCCCTTCTCACAACATTGGACACCCATGGAAAGCCCAAAATGGTCCTCACATCTTCTAGGGATATATTCATTACCTGGGAACTGAGTAGACAGGAAAGGGCTTCTGCAACCTCTAACAATTTAAATGCCGAAGACATAATAGTGAATTTAAGCCAATCTCAAAAGGTTACATACTGTTTGATTCCATTTATATAAGTTTTGAATTGACAGAATTATAGAAATGAGCTAGTGCTTGTCAGGGCTTAGGGGCCAGATACAACCAGGAGTCAGGGTGGCATGAGAGAGTTCCTTGATGGTGATGAGTTCTGTATCTTGAGTGTGGTTACATAAACCTATACAGAAGGTAAAATTGCAGAGCATATACACCTATAAATGACTCCATCCTAATGCCTGGTGGTTTCAGTGAGGCCTGTAGTCTCATAAATGAGGCTAAATAAACCCTAAAAATATCAGGTCCTAATTGCTGGAACCTGTGCATTTTACCTTATATATGGCAAAAGTAACTTTGCAAATATGACTAAGTTAAAAGTCTTCAAATAGGAAGATTACATTGGATCGTCTGGGTGAATGCGAATGCAGTGCAGTAACAAGCATCTTTATAAGAGGCAGAGGGAGATTTCACCAAAGAAAAAAGACAGAGATTGCAGTGATGTAGCCACAAGCCAAGGAGCACCAGCAGCAACCATAAGCTTCAAGAGCCAAGGAGTGGATTCTCCCATAGAGCCTCTGCAGGGAGCATGGCTCTGCTGACACCTTAATTTCAGTCCAGGGATAAGGTTTTCAATTTCTGGCCCCCATAACTATGAGAAAATAATTTATTTTTGTTATTTTCTTTTAGTACGCAAGCAGGGTTTATTAGTAATACATTCATAGGGAAGAGAACAGGACTAGCCAAGGTGCTCTAGAGAGGCAGAGACCAGAAAATAATTTTTTTTAAGCCATCAAGTTTGTGATAATTTGTTATAGTGGCCACATAAACCAAACCATGTGGTTAATAGTATTGTACCAATGTCAATTTCCTGATTTTTATATTATACTATTGTTATGTAAGGTGCTATTCGGGTAAGCAAGGTGAAAGATATGTGGGACTGTACTATTTTTGCAACTTCTTGTATTATTTCACAAATCAACAGCAAAAAAACTTTTACTTTTATAAAAGAAAAAAAAATCCTGTGTAAAAAAGAAACCAAACCCCATAAGCCAGTCAAAGCAAATCAATGCAGCAGAAAAATGGAGTAACTATGATTATTTTCTTGTTTTCTGACCCACCCACCTCCAACCCATACGAAAATGGGCTTCCGTGATTCTCACTTTAAAATCTACAACAGTGAGAAAGGCAACCAGCCTTGCTCTGGATCTGTAGGTCAGGAAGCAGGATGTCCCATCTACTGAGGACTCTTGTGTTGGGCACAAATAAACACCTCACAGAAACTTTACAAAAAGCCTAAAGGAATGACCCGTTACAGAAGGAGCCTGATATTCAAGAAAAGTTAGGGGTTGGCCAAGTGGCGCGATGGTTAAGAACTGGCTAGGGATGCCAGAGGGCCCCAGTTCGGATCCCACATATGAGGGCCAGTGACACTGCCCTCCACAGCTAAGATGCTAAACAACAGCTCAACCTGGAACTGGGCTGCCGTGAGTCGCCAGCTATGGCATAGGCTGCAGCCCCTATGGCAGTGGGTTGCCATGGGCTACTGTATGTAGCCAGAAGCCAGCGTGAGTGGCCAGCAGCCGCTGTGAGCGGCCGTCCAGAAGCCGGTGACTGATCTGCCTCACCCGGGAAGAGTGCAATGACGGTGCCAACTTGGGCCAGTGACGCAAAGTCCTCCACAACTAGACTGAAGAACAAAAGGATAGCAACTTCTCTGTTCCCTTTCCCCCAATTTCCCAATAAAAATCTTTAAAAAAAAAAAAGAAAAGAAAAGAAAAAGAGGTAAGCTCAGCCTTTCTGTCACAGTTAACTAATATTCAGCTTCACGATTTAAACCACCAATTTAAAAATCCCCTGGGAGTTTGATAATAAGGGCTGGAAGTGTCCCGGGAGGTCCCTTTTGTGAGCTGTTGCACTGAGTCAGCACAGAGAAGATGTGACTCGTCTAACCACAAGCGGCCAGCTAGGGGCAGAGCCCCTATACCATTCCGGCTCCCTGCCCAGCCCAACGCCATGCAGGAGAAACCACTTTATTTTAAATGTTCCCCTCCTAACTAATGCCTTGGGTTGATGAAGCACTTAAAGTGCTTCACTGAGCATCTTCACTGAGACGGGCGTGGAGGACACGGCCTCCTTGTAAGGCCCATCCCAGGCCTTTACACTACTCATCAGACTTTGAACCCTGGTTCAAAATCAGTGACCTCTGCAAATAGGGATTTCCTTGGAGAAGTGACAATAATCTTTGCATTTGGAAGCCAATGCAATTCAGTCACCTCTGCTTGAATCTGAAAAACAAGAGAGCCCCCTGGGTTATAAGCCCAGAGGAGGCATCCTTTGTGGCGTAAACTTAGAAGATTGCTCCTGCTCACACACGTGTCCTTGCAGTAAGCTGTCTGTTCAAGCATAACCAGAGATGGTGAGCGCCATTAATTACCTCTGAACAGTTGAGAGATGATCTCTGGCACAACAGCTGTAGAAATGAGAGGATTGTTAGTAGAATCAACACTGAGTCATCACTGACGACCCTCTGCCTTAGGCCCCGGATGGTGAGGCTATGAAACAGAGTTGGCCTGCGTTCTCCCTGCGGGGAGTTTGAATTCTAGTGGATACCTGTGGAGAGAGTACCCAGGGAGAGCGGACTAGGGAATCAGACTCATTCTGGTGGGCTGACAGGGCTGGGTGGGTAACCCCCTCCTTTGGGGCCGTGCTAGATGATTTCTAAGTCCTTTCTAGCTTTCAATGTTCTGAGTCTCCAGTTGAGCACTTGCGATGAGTCTGACACCAAACAAAGCCCTTAAGGAAGATAAGAAGTGTAATATTGATGTTCTGTCTTTGGGTGGTGTGCGATGGGGAATGCAGCAATAAAACAAAGAAAAGTCGATGTCCACGTGCAGTGCATCCCAGGCAGAAAGGCCTCAGATCGGTGCAGGCCTGCGAAGATTTTATGCGTTCCGCAAATATTTCCCAAGCACCTACTAGGCAGGCCCTGTACTAGATGTAGGTAGGGGTTACAAGGATTGTTGAGACACAGGCCCTGATGTCTCCAAGCATAGGAGATCCAAGGGACAAACAGAGGTGTTAATATATGACATCCTTGTGGGCTTCCCAGATTGCAGAGACGAGCTTGCAGCTGGGGGAGTGGGCCGACGAGGGTCACAGAGTTGGTCAGACTTGAACTGTGTTTTAATTTTGTGGAAAGACTTTTTGGACAGCAAGAGGAAGCTAATTCTGCTGTCCTGAGCCTGACCTTCAAGTGCCCGGGGCGTTGGTACAGCCAGTCAGGGTGATGAGAGCTGGCTTGGCCTGGGGGTGTCCAGGCAGGGCCCAGGAGGAGGGGCTTCGTTCCTGGCCAGTTCAGAGGCCGCTGTCCACATGGCTCACCACTCTGTCCGTTGCCAGGCTGGCCGAGCATCTGCGCAGGACCCGGGCGGCTGTGGTGCTCCAGAAGCAGTATCGCATGCGGAGGGCCCACCTGGCCTACCGGAGGCTCCGCGGGGCTGCCATCACCATCCAGGCCTTCACGCGGGGCATGTTTGTGCGGAGACGCTACCGCCAGGTGTGTAGCTGCCCCTGGGACTCACAGGCTGCAAACTCAGCTAAAGCTGCAGCAGGCGGATTGTCACCAACGAACATTGGCTGGGCGCTCCTAAATTTTCTCTAATGTCACAACCCTGCACTCACTAAATCCTATCCAGTGTCCCATGCGTTAGTCAGGGTTCTCGAGAGAAACAGAACCGTGTGTGTGTGTGTGTGTGTGTGTGTGTATGTGTGTGTGTGTAGGTTTGTTATGTGGAACTGGCTCAGTGATTATGGAGGCTGAGGAGCCCCACGATCTGCCCCCTGCAAGCTGGACACCCAGGAAAGCCTCTGGTGTTATTCAGCCCGAGTCTAAAGGCCTGAGGACCTGGGGAGACGGTGGTGTGAGTCCCCGTCTCAGGGCAGGAGAAGATGAGACGTCCCAGCTCAGTCAGCGTTAACAGGGGCAGACCCGTCCTTCCTCCACCTTTTGCTCTATTCAGGCCCTCCATGGATTGGATGAGGCCCACCCACCTTGGGGAGGGCCGCCCACTTGACTGATTGAGCCCACTGATTCAAATACTCACCTCTCTGGAAACACCCTCACAGACACAACCAGACACAGTGTTTAACCGAGGCACCCCGCCGCCAGTTCACACGTAAGATGAACCATCACAGGTAGGAAGGGTGCATAGTGTTGTACCCCTTTTGACAGCTGAGATGCTTGGAGAAGCTGAGTCATCACCCTGAGGGCACTCAGTCAGCCCATGGCAGAGCCTGCTGACTCACACTTGAGACCAGGGGTGATATTGGGCATCATCAGGCGTAGTGCCTTCATTTAACAGAGTAGCAACCTGAAGCCCAGCAAGGTGCGGCCAGGAGAGGGACTCTGACTCCTCCCTTCTAGGCCATTATCCAGGGAAGCTGAACTACCTGGTTAGGTAGCCCCAAGTCAGGACACCTCCCTTCCACCAAATCACCCCACACAACTGAAGCTCAAAGCTAAAATGAGAGACGGATTGGAAGGAAACGTCTAAAGTCATTTTTTTGGTTTTCTAAAATGAACATTTCTCTTCTGTGATCAGAAAAGGTGTAATTTTTCTAGATAATAAAAAATCGACCATGACAAAGCAAACGTGGTCAGGCACCAGGATGGAGCACGTGAGGTAACACATGGAGAAACCCAGACCAGCGGGAATATTCCTGGGAGATGGGTGACAACTCTGACATCACCATGGAAGGAGCAGGTGGTCTTCGGGAGGCACTAGGTTCAAACCAGCTGTGTCTCAGAGTTGTGGTACTGGGCATGTCAGTCTCTCAAGATGATTGCTTATTTCTTCATTTAATCCACAAACATTTGTTTTGTAGGATGTTAGGAAGAGAATATTGATGATGCTTTAATTTTCTGAGTGGTTTGTAACATGAAAAAAGAAAAAAAAGAAAACCAGTGGATTACAAGCCAAGTTTGTACTTGTAAGCCATTATTAACCCAGTGTGGACGCTCGAGAGTCTCGCTTCATTGCCCTGACTCCCCGTCACCAGGAGGGGATCCAAATCTGTGGAATGGGGAGATATCAGCTGGATAACCTCAATCCCCTCCAACTTTGAGGCTTCCAGACTGTCATTTCCTAACCAATAAAACAAACAAATGAAAAACTAAAAGCAAGGGTTTCACAGCTGATTCCCTACAGGCACACAGGCTGCAGAACTTGGTAAAAAGGTGTTCATAAAACAACTGGCTGGCAAAGCCTTAAGTCCTAGGGAGGCATATTCTCGCTGTATCTCCTAAAACTGAGGCTAACCGTGTCTCTCACCTCCCCCAGGCAGTGCCTGAGCTTGCAGTACAAACCCAACAGGTATGTGTTTGTCCCCTGCCAGGTCCTCTGGGAGCACAAGGCCACCGTCATCCAGAAGCACGTGCGGGGCTGGACGGCACGCCGGCACTTCCAGCGGCTACGGGGCGCAGCCATTGTCATCCAGTGCGCCTTCCGGAGGCTCAAGGCCAAGCAAGAGCTGAAGGCCCTCAAGATCGAGGCCCGCTCCGCAGAACACCTGAAACGCCTCAACGTGGGCATGGAGAACAAGGTGGTGCAGCTGCAGCGGAAGATTGACGACCAGGTGGGTGTGAGGAGCTGTGGGGTGCTCCAAGGGCATGTTTGAGAGAGACCCAAGGCTTCCTCGGGAACTGCACGTGCCAGCACCCAAGAGAGTGCACATGTCCCCAGGGTGTCACCCCACTCAGCAGGAATGGCTGCTGACTGTGGTAGGCAGAATAACAGCGCCAAAGATGTCCACGTCCCAATCCCCAGAGCCTGAGACTATGTTACCTTACCTGGCAGAAGGGACTTGGCATATGTGATTAAGTTCACCTGGAGATAGGGAGATTATCCTGGATGACTTGAGTGGGCCCAGTGTATTCACAAGTGTCCTCATAAGAGAGAGGCCAGAAGGTCAGATTCAGAGGAGAAGATGTGATGACAGAATCGGGTTGGAGTGATGTGGGGCCATGAGCAAGGAATGCAGTCAGCCTCCAGAAACTGGAAAAGGCCATAAAATGGGTTCTCTCTTAGAGCCTGTAGGAGGAACATAGCCCTGCTGACCCATTTTAGACACCTGACCTCCGGAACTATAGGATAATAGATTTGTATTGTTTCAAGCCACTGACTTTGTGGTTATTTGTTACAGCAGAAAGAGAAAGCTAATATATTAGACCCTAGTCACGTTTTCTTGCCCTTATAGAGGAAACATGGTGTGATAACAATAGCTGGCATTTATGGAGGGTTCACTGTGTACCAGGTGCTGTCCTAGTGCTTTGCCTGTGTTAACTCTTTTAATCCTCACAACAGTAAGGTAAATAGCATCATCCTTTTTTTTTTACTAGTGAGGAAACTGAGAGGGTGAGTGACTTCCTCAAGTCACACAGGTGACCATGGCTGGGCCACAACTTGAACCCCAGCTGCCTGGCCCCAGAGCTCGTGTTTCTTACCACTTTGCCCGTCTGCCTCTCTGTTGTTTTGTGTGGTGGGAAGAGCATATGCTTTGGAATCACAAAGAATCCGATTCAAATGCAACCCCGCTGCTCAAAAATTGAGTGACTGGGGCCAGCCGAGTGGCTCAGTTGGGTAAGAGTTAGCTTAAGAGCACAAGCTCCGAGCAACAGGGCCGCCGGTTTGATTCCTATGTGGGCCAGTGACGCTGCGCCCGAGCTGAGCTGCCGCTGAGCTGCCAGCAGGTGGCAGGATGGCTCAGCTTGTGAGAGCACGTGCTCCTAACAACAAGACTGCCTGTTTGATGGTGGGCTACTCCCGCTAGCAACTAAGACTGAACTCTGCACCTTGAGCTGAGCTGCCGCCCAGATGGCTCAATGGATAGAGCATGCGCTCTTAACAACAAGTCTGCTGGTTAGACTCCCACATGGGATGGTGGCTACACCCACCTGCAACTAAGATTGTAACACAGCACCTTGAGTTTAGAGACCTCGAGCTGCTGACGGGCAGCCAGATGGCAACTGGCGCCCTCCACAACAAAGATTGAAGAACAACTTGGCTGGTCCCTCTCCCCAATTTCCCAACACTGTTTCCCTCCCCCCAATTCCCCAATTTAAAAAAAAAAATTGAGTGACTGATTTACCCAATTTGAGTCTGTTTTCTTGTCCATAAAATGGAGCTGATAGGGCTATAAGAAGAGTGATCTGCCATGTATGAAGGGCCTAGTATGCAGCAGGAAACTTGGGAAACGGTTCAGTGATATTATGTTTAAGCTTTTTCCTTTGTCTTTCTACCCTGGCCACCATCTCATCCATGTCAGTGAATCACACAAGTGACAAGTCATTGATCAAATCCCTGCAGGGGGGGGTACTGTGCAGGGTACCGTGAGGGACCCAAGACAAGCGCAGGACACTTGGCATCCTCCATCAGGTTGGAAAGACGAGGCGTGCCGTGTGCGTGCACACAGCCATACACCCACTTTTTGGTGGTGGCCCCAGTGGCCAGTCTTCCTTCTTCTCTTCAGAACAACTCTATTGACTACTTCTGGTTCTTGGTTAGGCTCAGTGAACAGAGGGTGACTTTGACACCCATTGGATGGTGTTTTACGAGGGAGCAATCTGACACCGATGGAGCCCACAGCACCCACTCTCATAATGAATTTCTGGGCACCTGCCATGTGCCAGGACCTGTGGTGGGTGTCCTGTGTTCCCTCTCATTTGACCCTCACACAACTTTGTGAGGTCATTTTACAGATGAGGAAACTGTGGATCAGGGACATCACATACCTTGCCAAGGTCACAGACTTAGGACGTTCTGGAACCATCATTCTAACCCTGATGTCTGTCTAATCCCACAGCCATAATGGGGGTGATGCTAGCATCTTCACCCCAAACATCACTAAGGTCTCGGACCTTTCCTGTGTCGTCGCTAAGTTGGGTTCCGGGAGTTGGAAGTAGGCCCACTGTTACTTGGCTCTTGCAGGGTATTATGACCAGAGGACCAGGCTCCTGCAGTGCCCGGAAGGTTTCAGGTGCCTCCTGAGAAGTGGGAGAGGGTGGGAGAGAACCTAGTGTGCCTGGTGTGGGGGTGTGGAGAAAGAAAGAGCATTAGAGTTGGGCCTCCAGGCACTGCTTCGGAGGTCACTTGGTTTTATTGCACCTATTCTATGCTAAGCATTTTTAAGGCTTCTCATCACCCCAAAAGGGCAAGAAAATCAATGAGCCATTTTATACTGTAGGCAGCTGCCCAGAACAAGAGCCCAAAAGCAGAGCAGACATAGCAGTAAGATGTTCCTGCTTCTCTGTTCTTACAAAGCACCAGGATTCCTGAAAAGAGACTGTCACCTTGGATGGTTTTGTTCTCTGTGTGAGGTCTGCAGGGTGTGCGGATTGCCTTGGCTTTTTGGTGGGGAAGCAAGACAGCTCAGTGCAGGGTGGAGGACCCTCGGTTCCTGCCCCTGGTCAGCCTGCAGTGACATGCCAGGTCAGGGCAGAAGGCACATCTGCTGTGAGGGACAGGAGTGAAAAGAGGTCTGGCCATTTGAAAAATGCAAGCACAGTGGTGGCCAAGTTTATTATTACTATCGTGGCTGTTGATGTCTGACCAGAAAAGATACTTGGGTAGTCAAATTTTGCCAATTAACCTTCTGAGAAAAGTACAGTCAGAGGAACAAGTAGGCTTTGTTGGCACCACGGCACCCTGCCAGGAGCCCCGGCCACCTCGGCCCTTGGTTTCCAGCCCTTGGGCCCTTCATTGGCTTTGCTGATTTCCCAAGTTGACTTGAGAGGTTAAAAATAGATCTGGTATTTTACAACCCATGTGCTTGAACATCAAAGAGAAGCAGATTTAAATGGCCTATTTTTAAAAAGAGCCTTTTGCCTTAAGCTTCCTGCTTGGCAAGCATCTGTGAGTGGTGGCAGGTGTTACCTACCCTGGGCAGGGTGCCTGTGTGCAGAGGGTGATCAGGAGGGGCAGCGAGGGTGGATTAGCTCTTTCTTTCTCGCACCCCTCCCTGTGTTGCCTGACTACATTCCTGTCAGTATTCTCATATGTAACTCATTTAATCCTCACCACCGCCCTATGAGACAGTAGTATTCTCATTTTAAATGGGCTCAGAGAGGTTAAGTAGCCTGCCCAAGGTCATGCAGCTAGTAAGTAGCATGACTGAGACTAAAATTTAGCAGTCCAGTTCCAGAGCATGTTCTGCCACCTCCGACCAAATTGTAAGATACCTGTCCGGGGGCTGGTCAGGTGGCGCAGTTGGTTAGAGCACGAGCCTTGAGCAACAGGGTCGCTGGTTCGATTTCCTCATGGGCTAGTGAGCTGCTCCTGAGCTGAGCTGCCGATGAGTGGCCAACAGGTGGCAGGATGGCTCAGCTGGTGAGAACACGTGCTCTTAACAAGGTTGCCAGTTCGACTCCTGCATGAGATGGTGGGCTGTGCCCCCTGCAACTAAGATTGAACA